TGACTTGCATATCAGGTGTAATTATATTAAAGTGACATCCAAATGGGTTTTTCTCTGCGGAACAGATAAACCTGTCTCGATAGGAACTATCATGTCTCTGTGAGTGAGAGAGAAAATAATGTACTCCTTGTAATTTAAATTGATATCCCTTTGTTTACAACCCACAAACCGAAATGCTTGTGGTGATCAGGCTTTGCCAGTTTCTTTTGCAAAGCAAAGGAAACCTAAAGGCTACTCCCATCATACATGATGTGTTTGTTCAGGAAGTTTCAATATTTACCATTTCAGCAACTGTTATTTTACAACTCCTTTCACTCTCAGCCTGCCAAAGAAGTATTTGGATGCTAGTAGCATACTGCAATACAAGTATATGTGCTTTTTTATTGACTAACGAAGAGGCCTCTATAGGATAAAGAGTATCTAATCTGTTAAAGCCAATTGCTTAGTTCCCCTTCTTTCTGCAAGGGCTCCATTAAGGTGTGCAATCTATAGCTTATCGAACTGATGTACCTCAGGTATCTCTGACATGTGGGTTAGAATATAGTTTGTCATCCTGGTGGCAATGGTCTGGTAACAATATGACAGTGTGGTTTTACATTGGTGGCCATGGCCAACATAAAGTGTGTGTGTCATGTCTCCACCTATAAGAATAGTTTGCATTCAGACGATTGTTGTGTTTTATAATAGAATCATTAATCAATTTCTATGCATCATCGAAACTGAAAATATTTGTGATTTTTTTACTGCTCTTAATCTTTAATTAAAATAGAGATGAAAGGAGAAGCCCACAAAAGTAAGGGGAGGTCTACTAACTGCTAAGGAAATATTCACAGCAAAACATACTCCCAAAGGCACCAAAAAGTAGTGTATAGCAAATAAAAAATATAAAAAATTCTGTTACAATGTAGAAACTAGACTTTATTAGACAGTGCCTAATGCACAGTGTGATTGGATGTGTAACTATGAACAGAGCAGGCTAGAAAAGGTAATGTTTGTTGTACAATGTAACTAAATAATATATTGGTTTGAGGGTAGGTACCACTAGGGGGGTATAATGCAAGATGAAAAATCTGAGGAAAATAGGTAGAAGAAAAACAATGAAGTGGTCCTCAAAGACAAGAAACACCTATCAAATAAATGCTAAAACACAAATGGTAGCTCTCACATGAATGGGTATTAGAGAAACAGTCTGACAGAAGGATCATCGCCCGAAGCGTTTTTTCAAGGAGACATAGAAGCGGGATAGTAAGGCTGAGAACTCCTATACAGTCCAGGTTCACTCAACTCTAGTCCTTATATCTGGAATTTGCAACCAATGTGTGGCTTTAAGTGGTTAGTTCATCCTGCATAATATAATGTAATGCAGCTTGTTGATGACAAACATTTGACTGATATGTTTTACATGGTCTCTGTACCTAGATCTGTATAAGTTATGGTCACTCCTAACATTGCATTGATCTAATACTTGTGGATTATATGATTGGATTGGTTGCAGATAAAACCAGCTGCTTATTATCCCCATAGGCTCTGCCATAAGTACTTCATCACTATCTGAAGATAAGGTATGAGTAAGTATGTGGTTGTTTGCTCTCATAAGAATTACTGAATATCTTCTACTATCCTGCTTATTATGTGTCTTTTGCCACAATGTATCATGTGCCTCTGGTTACCACCTTCTCCTCAGTATCCTGCCTATAACATATCTCCTACTTATGTTGCACAATAGTCTGTAATAAATTTGATTATAATGTTTGGCATAATCTGTGATATTTACAATATGTTTATCTTTAAATGTAGGTACTGACGTGTTTGGCCTACATTGCCTACTTATAATTTAGTAGTTGCTGCAAATTCTACGGTTCATACCATTTTTTTCTCCCTCAACTAATCTTCATATGATTCTTCTTGCCTTTGCCTAGTAATGTTATTGGTTTCTACCTCTCCCGTAACTGATCATTAAGCCGATCCGTTGGGATCAGACTGTGTATGCCGGCTTGGTTCTAGGGGAGCACTGTGGCAAACCTAGCCACTTAAGACTATTGCATGTGTGGATATCATGGGGTTGGCTTGCTGTAAGAACCAAGTGTGGTATGTGGTGTTCATGCGTTCATGGCGTTCATGCGAACAAGAGCGTTCGTATGCTTGTAATGCGTAAAACCCAGCATTGCCTATGCAGTTTCACGAACAGTGAGTTTAAACACTGTTCGTGAAATGAATGAACTACCGAATGGTCGACCACACACAGGAGGTCGTGTGGCACCCATTAACCGATTGCAACATTGTTGCAATCGGTAGTTAAAGACTTCCCTAGGTGGCCGTCGTTCGGCTACCGACCACGCGGCGGTCGGCCATCTTGGTTCCTTTGTTAGCCCAGCGGGGTTTTGCCGACGAGTGCCTGGAACTAAAAACGTCTACTCGACGGGCGAACACCGCTGGACTTCCAGGCCGTTCGGGAGCCCTGGCCATTCGGTAGTTTGTTCCCCTAATATCAATCGCTATTTTAGCAGTATGTTGGAAATAATGTTCGGTAGTTTATGTTTATGTTCGCCGTCCGTGGCGAACCATTCAGCGAACCGTTCGGCGAACCGTTCGGGACATCACTACAGGAAACCATTCTGCTGAGGCTTTTATTTGAAAATGGTCTAATCTCAGATTGTTTTTGGGACATGTCCTGCAATCAGTAGGTCTGCTTAGGAAAAATAAAAAGCCAGAAACAGTAGGAACAGAAACATAGGAAGAGATCCTCTCCTTTCCAACATCTTATCTATTCCATTGATACAGGTCAGCTCAATGGGATTCTATGCAGGAAAGTAAACCCAACCCAATTGTTACATAAACAGCCCTGCACTCATTTCATATTTTGCTCTAGGGGAGATAAAATATTTAAGCCACCTTGGGCCAGCCGAGAAAGGAATAAATGCGTGAGAATGTCTTTGTGCTGGGTCCTCCTGCGAGAACCTTGAAGGGTCAAATACCTGCAAGACACCGCATATGTCATACGTAAGACCAGATAAAAGAAATAAATTAGATTATTGACAAATACAAATTAATGTCCTATTTATAGCAGCGGAAATCAATGTATTGCATTAGATGTGGTTTATTGGTCACCAAGTTATGGAAGCATTCAAAATTATCTTTTTTTTATCATTTTTTATTTTTTTGGCTGCTATGAATTAGATTGTGTTATTAAATATGGGCTTAGATACATTTAAATACATCAACCATATCAGGACACATCATGTGACGCCGTGGTATAATGGGATTATTAGACTCCTTGCCATAAAGGGTGTAAAGACCACAGGAGTTATAGGAGTCAAGGCTTGGTGTCCATTAAACAATCCAAGATGAAGAATAACTCAGAAATAGAGTGGAGCGAACCCAGACTGAAAAGTTCGTTTTCTTACCGAACATTACGTTTTTTTGGACCCCGGAGCCGAACACGGACATATCACTGTATGTTCGGTTTGGAGTTAGGTGTTCGTCGATTTAATGGCGTGCTTTGAAAGGCTGCAGGGCAGCCAATCAACAAGCATTTGACTCATGTGCCCTTAGAAGCCATCACAGCCATGCCTATTAATGGCATGGCTGTGATTGGCCAGTGCAGCATGTGACCCAGCCTCTATATATAAGCTGGAGTCACGAAGCGCCGCATGTCACATGAGCTCTTATTAGTGTAGGGAGAGGATGATGCCGCTTTCAGGGACAGATTAGGAAAGAATTCTGCAAACTAGTACATTAGTGGGATGCGCTCAAATAGTGCGCTTACAGCGCAGTTGTAAATATTCTAATTGTTTTGCTGCTAAATAGTACATATTGGGCGTGCTCTTCATATCTGAGAGTCAGAGCGGTTACAGCGCAATTGTAAACATTCTTATTTTATGGGTGCTAATCTGCTAAACAGTACATAAGTAGGGTGCACTTCATATCTGAGAGTCAAAAAGAACCGTCAAATAGTGCTGTGGCATAGCATTTTTAAACATTAAATAATTTTGGCTGCTAAATAGTACATTTGTGGCCTGCGGTGCACTTCATATCTGAGAGTCAAATAGAACCATCAAATACCAATGTAACAATATTGTAATTCGGGGGCAATACCCTCACAAGTCAAACTGAGAGGTCAGTTTATAGGGAAAACTGTTGCCTGGATACAATTCTAAAACAATTTCCATATGTCCTTTGCAGACTTTACATGCTGGAAAAACACAGGTGCCAACTGCTGTGGCTTTCTGCAGTGTGCAGACCGGCAAGGAGGGAAGGGTTGAGGAGTGGGTAGAAGATGATGTGAAGGATGATGAGGTCCTAGACCCCACATGGAATGAAGGTCATGCGAGTGACGTGTCCAGTTTGGAGGAAGAGGCGCTAGTCGCACAGAGGTACCAGCACAGCATAAGAGGGAGCATTCTATTATCTTTAGAATTCCCACAGTTATCCAAGTAACAGATGGAACGATAAAAAGAACCATAACAGATTTAACGAGCCATTCGCAGTTTCGCAGTTCGGTGACCGGGACACAGACACTGTCTGGGCGGCGGTCGGACGACCGGGACCCAGTATGCCTGATGTTGAAGTTAGGAGTCACAGTGTGGAATGGATTAGCAGGGTCTAGTGCAGGGTAACCGCATGCCCCCTGGTGTTGAGCACCAGCGTTTGTGCGGCCACATACCAGGACCCTGATGCAGCTTCAGTAAAAAGAGTACTGGATACCAGAAGCCATCACCAGACTGACCCACAACTTGGAACAGGATGTGACATTCAATGTAGCGGGTGTGCGCACTTTCGGCGTTCTCACCCTGCTGCTGCTCGCCTGTCTGCGCTGCAACGTAACTTTGGCCTTCCCGCTCACCGCCTCATATGCGACGTGCCCACAAGGTGGAACTCCACCTTGCACATGCAGGAGAGACTGTGCACCAGACTTGCCCTCCAATTGATCAGAGTTAAAGGATTTCAAGTGGACTCATTACAATTACAGGGCCTCTAAAGAGTCCTGTATTGTTATTTGTCGTCACTACCTTCCCGCGTCGGGAGTGGGTCATTTGCGCGCCTGCTGCCTTCCTTGCATGTGGTAGCCGGTTCTCAGGCTTCCTCTCACGAATTGAACCCTGATTACCCGTGGTCAGCATGGTAGGCGCAGTAAATGGCATCGAAAGTTGATATGGATGACATACAAATGCGTCGTCGCCTTGTCTTTGGGGAGCCCATTGAAAACATGCTCTAGCATGATGAGCTGGGTGATCTCCTCCGAGAACTTGGCTTGATGGAAGTTGAGCCAGTTCTGGGTGGCCCTTGTGATGCGGCATGCCCACTCTGCATGGGAGTCCTTCTCCCCTTTCCAGGTCTCCCTAAACTTTCGGCGGTATTGCTTGGGGGTGACCGCATACCGGGCCAGGAGGATTTGATCTGCTCTAGTGGTACAGCCCGGTAAATATCCGCTGCCTTCCCCACTAGTTTGCTGGCCAGGATGGTGACCCAGTTGCTGGGGTCCACGTCTTGGAGTAGGCACTGGTGCTCAAAGTCTTGTAAAAAGTCATCAATGCCGCCTTCTGCTTCCTTGAAGGCATTGTATGGTAACTTGTGGGTCAGGGTGGTTGTGCTTCCCGGCACCCTCTGCTCCCTTCTTCCTTCATCTGGGTTCACAGAGGTCGCCTTCTGTCCCTCCAAAAAAGGTCCTGCTGACCATCTCCTCTGTGGGTGGCTCTCGGTAATATGCCAGGCGCCGTTACACCTCCTTGCGCACTTCCTCCTCATCTCCTGCTGCTGCTCGCCTGTCTGTGCTGCAGCGTAACTTCGGCCTTCCCGCTCACCGCCTCATGAGAATGTGCGAGCAGCAGCAGGCAATAGTGGAGTTTCAGCTGCAGTACGCACGGGTTAGTCGCTCTGTGGAACAGAGTTTTTTTTTTTTTTCGTTTTTTATATGTCCCAATATTTGGGGGGCTACCCCAATTAAAAAAAATATGTGTGTATATATATATATATATATATATATATATATATATATATCTCAGTGTTGGCTACCTCCTCCTCCTCCAGGGCTGCTTCCACTTACACCGCCACGGTCACCGCTTCCTCAACCTATGGGTCACTTAGTATAAACTATGTACACAATAGCAGAGGCTTGTGAAGGCCTTTTCTCCATGCATCAGGGGTTGAGCTCAGTTTGAACAATGAAAGAGAATATCCTGCACTTCAACCATCTCTCAAAAGGATAATTCTGGTGATCCTCCTGACAGCCAAGCTTTAGATTTTGATTTATGTTCTTCCAAAGCTAAAATCAAAGATTCCATCTAGTGCTATTTTATGGCTCAGCTGTATTTTAAATTTTTGTGTTATTTTAAGTTATTTCCCTATCCACATTTGTTTGCAGGGCACTTGTCCTACTCTTACCCCCATTTTACTTCCCTTTGCAGCCCTCTAGCCCTTTCCAGGAGTTTTTTAGAGGCATTTTTGTGCCCAAAGTTCGGGTCCCCATTGACTTCAATGGGGTTCAGGTTCGAGGTCAAGTTCGAGCCCGAACCCGGACTTTTTTTCAAAGTTCGGCCGAACCCGCCGGACCCGAACATCTAGGTGTCCGCTCAAGTCTACTCAGAAATGGTTTCTTTCAGGATACACCTAGTCCTCTTTGGCTTTATACAAACATTAACAGCTTATTTCTTACCTCTGGATCATTCCAGACAGAAGGGTTTCTGTGCATGCTATCAATAGACACAGTGTAACCATATTCCTCTATTTACTAAAGTGCCATACTGAGATATCATATGTATCTTTCTTACCTATTATGCCAATTCTCTAATTTCCACTAGTTTACAATAAAGTACATGGTGTATAACTGAGCCCAGAGGTATTCTTACAATGTACGTGCTCCAATGAGTGGTGCCTTAATGTTTTATTTATTACATAGGAAATTAATCAAAGTCAGGTCATAGCGCCCCATTTTGTCACATGTGCATCATTACAGGGTCCAGTTAAACGTTTGATCTGCTGAGAGTCCCAGAAGATGGGTATTCAATGGGGTAGATTAATCTTATATAAGCAACCAATTATGTTAATACCTGGAAAAATGGGGAACTATGTTATCAGTGACAGGCTTATATAATGAACAGCCATACTTTGTAACTAAACGCCATTATTTTACCTTAACTAAATTCATTAATAACATTAAATGAAAAAGTATGGTTCTGCAGTTGTGGAATGGGCAAATATTACAAGTTTTAGAATGAAAAGTTTTATTTCTTAAACTGCGCACTTTGTCTTTAAGAGATTTAGCAAACTGGCAAGTTGTTAGAAATGGTTATTTTTCATACCAGGTTTCTTTAATAAATGACCTCTTACCCATATTCAGTGACTATGGTGTTCAGACTTTAGGACGCCATCTTGTCCTAGGTTAGTGTAATTCCCCAAGTCACGGAATTTCCCACGTCATGTGTACCCTTACGTTTTAGTCTAAACATAGATAAGATGTTCCCATGTGAAATGACCAAGTAATGGCCTTTTATCTTTGCCAAGTTAAGGTAGGTCCTAAAAAGACCTAATTGAAGATCTACGGTATAAATATGTGTACTCATTAACCCCTTAAGGACGGAGCCAAATGTACACATTGTGAACAAAACAAAATGTAAACAAAACCTGGCATTTGCGCTACATGTCTGTCCAACCGTAATTCACCTCTTTCATAGTAAATGCACCCACCCTTATTATATATCATTTTATTCAGGGGAAACAGGGCTTTCATTTAATATCAAATATTTAGCTGTGAAACATAATTTAATATGAAAAAAATGGGAGAAAATAAGATTTTTGTTTTGATTTTTTTAGTTCTACATGACATTTTAACGGTCAATGTCATAATACTGTTTGCTTTTACTGCAATAAAATACACATATTTGTATTCAGTAAAGTCTCACGTGTAAGACAGTACCCCCTATGTACAGGTTTTATGGCGTTTTGGGAAGTTACAGGGTCAAATATAGCACGTTACATTTGAAATTGAAATTCGCCAGATTGGTTACGTTGCCTTTGAGACTGTATAGTAGCCCGGGAATGAAATTTACACCCATAATGGCATACCATTTGCAATAGTAGACAACCCAAGGTATTGCAAATGGGGTATGTCCAGTCTTTTTTAGTAGCCATTTGGTCACAAACACTGGCCAAAGTTAGCGTTAGTATTTGTTTGTGTGTGAAAAATGCAAAAAATGCCAATTTTGGCCAGTGTTTGTGACTAAGTGGCTACTAAAAAAGACTGGACATACCCTGTTTGCAATACCTTGGGTTGTCTACTATTGCAAATGGTATGCCATCATAGGGGTAATTTTCATTCTTGGGCTACCATAGGGTCTCAAAGGCAACGTAACCAATCTGGCGAATTTTAATGTGAAAAAAATGAAACGCAAGCCTTATATTTGACGCTGTAACTTTTGAAAACACCATAAAACCTGTACATGAGGGGTACTGTTGTACTCGGGAGACTTCGCTGAACACAAATATTTGTGTTTCAAAACAGTAAAAAGTATCGCAGCAATAATATCGTCCGTGTAAGTGCTGTTTGTGCGTGAAAAATGCAAAAAACGTCACTTTTACTGGCGATATCATCGTTGTAATACATTTTACTGTTTTGAAACACTAATATTTGTGTTCAGCGAAGTCTCCCGAGTAGAACAGTACCCCCCATGTACAGGTTTTATGGTGTCTTGGAAAGTTATAGGGTTAAATATAGTGCTAGCAAATTAAATTCCCTTTACTTTCGGCATGGGTTGTCAGGCAGGTCCGCTAATTGTAATTAATTAAGATACCTAATTATGTAAAAATATTACATAAATATATATGCAGAATTAATATATGTATATATATACGTATGTGTATATATATGTATATATCTATATAATTTTTTTTAAATATTTTTATTTATATATAGGTATATATATAGTGATATATACGTATATATTTATGTATATAGATATATATATTATTTCGTTCTACGTGTATTTTGATATATATATATATATATTAATTTCACAATACAGTTAGAACGAAATAACACACATCTATATATTTTGTAATTATTTATTTTTAATTATTTTTTTAATTTTATTTTTTAACGTATTTACATTTTTATTTTTTTTATATTATATATAAATATATATATAACAATAATTATATATATATTTAATCAGTATCAGTCTACGTGTAATTTGATATTAATATATATATATAATTATATATATATTAATAGTAAAATACACCTAGACGGTGTACGTGTGTGTATGTATATGTGTGTATATATATATATACTTAGATCATATATATATAACATATATATATGATCTAAGTATATATTATTTTCTTTTTTACACTATTTATTTTATTCATTTTTATTTTCAGCCAGCAGGGGGACCACCTGTCATTACAGGCAGCCCCCCTGCTGGCAATGCTGCAGCCAGCTACCCCCGGCCATGTGATTGTGGGGTCCTCGCAAGGACCCCACTCTCACATGGCCGGGGGGCTTCCAGGAGGACGGAGGTCCCGCGGGGGGCTCCCTGGGAAAGTAGGAAAAGACCGGAGGGCGTACTATTACGCCCGGCAGCGTTTAGAGCCGCTTAGAATAGGGCGTAATAGTACGCCCTCCGGTCTTAAGGGGTTAATATTAGGACACAGAGGAGAGATTTTGGAGACAGAGATGCTGTTCCATTTTATTATGACAGAGACGTTGACATGTTCATGCGGTTATTTTATTCTATTTTACTGATATTGCAAGCATATACAATAATCGTATAAACTCTGCTATGAAATTGTAATGGATTATTATGTTTTTATATGTCTGTATTTAGATTTTTATTTAATAAAATATTTAAAAAGACAAAACATTATTGCTTTCAAGACAATCCCTATTTTATATTGTATTCTCAATTATTTATATATTTTAAATAGAGGAACTCTTACTAACGATATAATATTATGGCTAAGATATCTTTACGATTAGCCCTGCTAAATTCTATGCTTTAAGACGTTATATTGGTAAATAGGGAAACCGGCTGTGGTTACAGTTGACCTCTGTCATTACACAGAACAGATATTGGACCCTGATTGGTATCCATGGCACTGACCTTCTGGTAGAGATCACCCATCACTAAATGTGATTGGCTCATTCATATGCCTGGAAATGACTGGCACTGGTGTGTTGAGGCGCAAACTCTCCTTAATACACATGGTGATGTACAGCAACTTACTCAGGTCATCCCTGAAATACATGTGACAAAAAGGAGACCATTTATTTCAGACAGGAGGCTCATATTATACTCAATTTTGATTTACTTTCATTGCTTCAAAGTAAAAACCATACAAACAAACTTGGAAAAACCTGGTGAACGGAATCTTGTACCAACCAACTTAAAGCAGACCTGTCTATATAAACTCTACCTGGGGAACATTCTTCATTTTTTCTGTTTGTGAGCCTTAAAAGGACAATATAGTCACCCAAACAACTTTCGCTTAATGGAGCAGCTTTAGCATGCAAATCATGCCTCTACAGTCTCACTGCTCAATTGTCAACAATTTAGGAGTTACATCCCTGTTTTGTTATGTAGCCCAATCCACACCTCTCCTGGCTGTGACTGACATAGCCTGTCACACGTAAACTTCCTTTAGAAGTTTTTATCTTTTGCTCTGTAAATTTTGTGTTAATCACTCACAGAGGGCTCCTGCAGGTTATACAAGGCTGTTAACAGCAGGAGATAAGAAATTGTAAATTAAACAAACTGTGCTATAAAGAAAGTTTAAGCATTAGATGTCTTTTTACAGGAAGTGTTTAGGAACGCTGTGCAAGTCACATGCAGGGAGGTGTGACTCGAGCTACATAAACTAAGTGATTGGAGCAGTGAGACTGCGGGTGCATGATCTATATACCAAAAGGACTAATTAGTGAATCTATTTAGAATTAGTTCTCTTTAGTTGCACTTGTATAGAAATTACTAAATGTAAAACTGAGAAAACATTGAAATTATTTTTTTATTAATATTTAGCATTGTGTTAATACATACAGGGTTTCAAAAGAAAGCCCTATTTAAAAAAAATAAAACAAATTATATATAACATTTATAGGTGTACTTAAACGGAAAGGATGTTATTGTGGTACAAAGAAAGCATGGCAAAATTACCAAATAGGCCTTGGATCTCCAACTAACTTTGATCCTTAAGGGGTTAATAAATTTTATAGTTTGGAATTTATTTGTATTTATGAGATAGTGACAAGACGAGAGGAGTCTGTCTTTAAGCTCGGAACTCTTGAAAGTGACAAACACATTGTTCTAATAGCCTGTGTTGAGGAATTTGGGATCTTGCAGACACTGTTCCTTTGCTAATATCAACTCCCCATGTTCTTTAAGAATCAGGAATGACCCAGTGATCCTTAATTTTATCTGAATATTATTTTATTCTGAATTTGAGAAAGCTCTGTTTTATTCATATTTTTTATTTATTTTTTTAAATAAGAGTTGTTCAGCCAGGATTGGGATGATGGCACCACAAAATAATCACCTTTTTACACACACAAATCTCATAGATCTCTATGTGGTTGGTCCCAGTCACATTGTACATGTGATGTGCTGCTGCTGGAGGGGGTGTGCATGTTTTTTTAAGGGCGGGGTGTGCAGGGTTTTTTTTTATTAAGGGGGGTGGGCAGTGTTTTTTTCATTAAGGGGGTGTGCATGTTTTTTTTTAAATTAAGGGGGTGTGTATGAATCTGATGTGTAGGGTCGGTGCAGAATTTTTATCTGTAGGGGGTGTATGAACTAGGAGGTGTATGTGTGAACTGTGAAGTGGGTGCAGGGTTTTTATGTGAAGAGGGGTATGAATTTGATGTGTAGGGTGGATGCAAGGTTTGTATGTGTGAGGGGTGCACAATTTTTATGTGCAATAAATATTCTTGAAAACACTGAAAAAAAATTGTGGGTGTTTTTTTTTTTTTTTTTACAGTTTTAAGGGGGTGGGTAGAGGGGGTGTGCCAAAAACAGGGTCTGCCCCGGGTTCCAAATGCTCTAGGAATGCCTCTGCTCTGGCTGGTCTGCAGCTCCACAGCTCCATACACTGCAAACTGTGATGCACTGTGTGCAGGGCCGGATTAACATAGGGGCTGATGGAGCTGCAGCTCCAGGCCCAGGCCTATGGAATAGGCCCATTGATTTAAAAAAAAAAAAAAAAAATTTTTTTTTTTGCATTTTTTTTTCACACACTACTCTTAGGGATTACACCTGGCTTTTATTTTATCAGCATAGCCAGTATTTGAGGCTGCCTGGCTGGTGCCAATATTGGATACTGGCAATACAAATGCTGGTATTTTTATCAGTATAAACAAGAGATTACTATGCAATAGTATGCACTGGCCAGTAGGGGTCGCTGTGTGTGGAGACAGGCAGGGATAGGAAGTTCCAGCATATCCCTACCTGCCTATCTATACTCACTGATCTGCAGGGGTGCAGTTACAGAGAGTCCAGAGAGCAACTCCCACCCTGCAGAGACAGCTTACAGCTCAGGGAAGTAAGGGATGGGGGGAAAGGCTGCAAGGAGACATGGGGACACTGAGACACTAAGAGACACTGGGAGACATTATGGCAGACACTGAGACACTAAGGGACATTGGGAGACATTATGGCAGACACTGAGACACTAAGGGACACTGGGAGACATTATGGCAGACACTGAGACACTAAGGGACACTGGGAGACATTATGGCAGACACAGACACTAAGGGACACTGGGAGACATTATGGCAGACACTGAGACACTAAGGGACACTGGGAGACATTATGGCAGACACTGAGACACTAAGGGACACTGGGAGACATTATGGCAGACACTGAGACACTAAGGGACACTGGGAGACATTATGGCAGGCACTGAGACACTAAGGGACACTGGGAGACATTATGGCAGGCACTGAGACACTAAGGGACATTGGGAGACATTATGGCAGACACTGAGACACTAAGGGACATTGGGAGACATTATAGCAGACACTGAGACACTAAGGGACATTGGGAGACATTATGGCAGACACTGAGACACTAAGGGACATTGGGAGACATTATGGCAGACACTGAGACATAAGGGACAATGGGAGACATTATGGCAGACACAGACACTAAGGGACACTGGGAGACATTATGGCAGACACTGAGACACTAAGGGACATTGGGAGATATTATGACACAGACACATGGGGACACAGTGTCCCTGGTGTCTCAGTGCCCCCTAGTCTTCCAGTGACCCCTAGTCTCCCAGTGCCCCCAGTCTGCCAGTGTCTCACTGTCCCCATGTCTCCTAGTACCTCCATGTCTCTCATTGCCTCAAGTGTCACAATGTCACCATGTCTCCAAGCTAGTGTCCCTAGTGTCTGTGTCCCCATGTCTCCCAGTGTCCCCATGTCTCAATGTCCCCATGTCCCCCAGTCAGTGTCTGTGTCCCTGGTGTCTGTGTCCCCATCTCTTCAAGTGTCCCCTATTTTCCCATTGTCCCCATGTGTCCCAGCCAGAGTCCCCTAGTCTCCCAGTGTCATTGGTGTCTCCATGTCCCTAGGTCTCCCCGTGTCCCCAGGTCTCCCCGTCTTCCTAGTGTCCTAGTGACATGGGGACCCTGGGATACATGGGGAGACATGGGGCATTGAGACACTGTGATACATAGGATCACTGGGAGACCTGGGGACACGACACTAGGGGACACACAGGGGACACTAGGGGACACTGGGAGACATGGGGCACTGAGACACTGATACATAGGAACACTGAGACCTGGAGTAATCGACACATGGGGGCACTGAGTCATGAGGGCACTGGGAGACATGGGGGCACTGGGAGGAATCCATCTATACAGCAGAATCAAACTAAGTAGGTTTTTTGGTGATTTTACAGCATTTTCTCTTATGTCACTCCTTGTGATTTACATCATGTGATGTCACCCATACATATTTAATTATGCAAATTAGTAAGGCCGGTATGTTTTTCCAAGAAAGGTGGCAATCCTAACTACTTTTCACATACTCTTACTTAAGTATGGAAACTTAAGTGGGATGTATGGGAACAAAACTTGTGTGGACTGGCTGACAATGAATATAGTTAAAGGACCACTATAGTGCCAGGAAAACACAATGAGAATCACGCAAGCGCCTCTAGCGGCTGTCAATGAGACAGCCGCTAGAGGATTTGGAGGCTGGATTAACCCTATTATGAACATAGCAGTTTCTCTGAAACTGCTATGTTTATAAAAGAATGGGTTAATCCTAGCTGGACCTGGCACCCATTCCACTTCATTAAACTGAAGTGGTCTGGGTGCCTAGAGTGGTCCTTTAAAGCGACACTATAGTCACCAGAACAACTACAGCTTATTGAATTTGTTCTGGTGAGTAGAATCGTTACCGTCGGGCTTTTTGCTGCAAACACTGTCTTTTCAGAGAAAATGAAGTCTTTACATTACATCCTAGTGATAACTTCACTGGCCACTCCTTAGATGACTGTTAGCGATCCTTCCTGCGTCATGGCTGCCTAAAATGCATCCAAACATTCAGTGTCTCCTCCCTCTGCATGCAGACACTGAACTTTCCTCATCGAGAGTCATTAATTAAATTCATCTATATAATGAGATGCTGATTGGCCAGGGCTGTGTTTGAATCATGCTGGCTCTGACCCTGATCTGTCTCTTTGTCAGTCTCAGCCAATCCTATGGGGAAGCACTGTGATTGGATCAGGCCACCACTTCTAATGATGTCAGCAGACTGCTTGTTTTTATGAGTCTAACAGCATGTAGAGTTACAGCTTCAGGCTTGAATATAGTAAGATTTTGCTATATTTATGGCGGCATGATGTGCCCAGGGGGGCTAGATGGTGGTGTTATAGGGTCATGAATTCATGTTTGTGTTCCTGACCCTATAGTGATCCTTTAAGGTAATGCTGACTTTGGTCTCTCTAACACTGTGGCATGTTCCCTTTCTTCTACACTTACTACATACAGCTTTTCTCTGTCCCAGACTATATACCAGGAGCTTCTGCCTGCTAGTAAGAAGGTAAGGAGACAAGTAGACCAGTGAGTGCTAGGGGGCAGTCCTTAGAAAGCGTTGAGTGAGCGCATCATTAGATGCATTTATGCCAAGCTCAGGGTGCTGTCTGCATAGTATGCCCTTAGTTGGCCAGCTGCATGATTTGCAGGCAGTCTGACATGCATTCATACCAGGCTGGCATTCTAATTCTTTGGGCAGACATATCCTCTTTTTGGGCATGTTCGCCCCTTTTGGCAGGTTACGTGATTTGTGTCAGTGGCACACCCTTTTACCCCGCCCATTGACTTCCTGCCTGACTAGACACTGCTGTTAGGGGTTATGGATTTACTTGAAAGATTAAAACATAAATTAGTGAGAGATTAGCCTAGGGTATGTGTTTTCTTATAGCTGCTGTTTTCTTTCTCTCCAGCACCATCCATCAGATACATGAGGCTTGGGAGTGTTTTACTGTTTTTGGTCGATATGATTCTGTAATTAGGCCCGTCATAATTGTCAGCACCAGGCCCACTGGGCTCTTAATCTGGCCCTGACTGTGTGTTCTGACACCTTTCTATCATGGCCAGCATTATGTTTTTCAGCAATTTCAACTACAGTAGCTCTTCTGTGTGATCGGACCAGATGGGCTAGCCTTCGCTCCCCATGTGCATCAAAGAGCCTTGGGTGTCTAGAATCCGGGAACCTAAACACACAGACAGAATCACAAACAAGAATATTTGTAATACCGATCCTTAGAATGGCCGGGTTGTACAAATAAGCAGATTCAGCATTCAAGCCAAGGTCAAAGGATTACAGAGGTAAGGAAAAATGATGAAACAAGCCAAGGTCAATGGATTAGATAGAGCAGGATAAACAAGAGACAAGAGCCAGTCAAGGTACCAAACAACTATACAGAAGGAACGCGCTATTGGGCTAACAAGAAACCACAACAGGGAAAAAAAGGAATGGGAGATGTAAGTATAAATAGGCATCACTTAATCTGATTGGTCAAATTCCACTTGGAATTGACCACTTTCGTGGAAGGTACTTGAACTTCATAATCTGACCTCTGACGTAATTTTCATGCGCCAAATTCGGTTTACCGAATTCCGCATTCGGGTTGGCAAACGCCGAATTCGGTAGTTCATTCAGACGCATACTTAAACACACTGCACGCAAGCATGCAGCGTCAGACGGAATGCGGGCGTGGGTCTTGGCACCCGGCGCTCCGGTGAGAGGTAAGTGGGCAGGAAGCCTGACATTTGCACCCATGACCCTGATGCCAATTCACTGGTTGTCCTTCTTTACACTATTTTTACTAAGTACTAACCACTGCATACCAGGAACAACACACAAGACTTGTCGTTTTGGAGGTGCTCTGACCCAGTCATCTAGCCATCACTATTTGGCCCTTGTCAAAGTCATTCAGATTTTTTTTGCTTGCCCATTTTCCTGCTTTCAATACACAAAATTTAAGCACTTACAGTTCACTTGCTTCCTAATATATCGCACCTCTTGACAGGTATCATTGTAACAATTTAATCAATGTTATTCACTTCACCTGTCAGTTGTTTTAATGTTGAGGCTGATCGGTGTATACATGCAATTACATCATTGTAATTTTGATACTTGGTCTCTAGATGGTGCTATAGGAAAGGATGACACAATATGTTTGTCTTGTTGGTGGCCACTAGATGGCTCTTTATTATACACCCTGTTCTAAATTATTATGCAAATTCTATTTAAGTGTCACAAAGATGAAATATTTTGTTTCTCAGTTTAACTCATGGATGGCATTGTGTCTCAGGGCTCTTTTGATCACTGAAAACAATCTCGGACACCTGTGATAATTAGATTGCCAGGTGAGCCCAATTTCAGGAAAAACTACTAAAGGAGGGTGTTCCACATCATTAAGCAGAGCACAATTTTCATGCAATATGGGGAAGAAAAAGGATCTTTCTGCTGCCGAAAAGAGTGAAATAGTTCAGTGCTTTGGACTAGGTATGAAAACATTAGATATTTCACGATATCGCACTATTAAGAAATTTGTGGCTGACTCAGAGCACAGAAGGGTTCATGCAGATAAAGGCACATTGAGGAAGATTTCTGCCAGAAACTGTCCAAAAACTCACAAGTTCAATGGAGGCAAGACTTGTGAAGCTGCTATCAAATAAGGGGTCCTATGTTAAAATGTAACGTGACCAGTTAAAATGTTTAAACAGTTAAAATGTTGTTATAAGTTTTATTGAAATAGCTTTTGATTTCATTAAATATGCCTCAAACACAACAAATGACAACGTTCAGTTCTTTACAACCTATAAAGTGTTTTGAAACTTACTGTGCGTAATAATTTGGAACAGTGCATTGTAAGTTTTTTATGTTTAAAAAAAATACTGTTATCATTAGGAGGATTGTTCAATACAATTTGAATTGAACTCTTAATAGTTGATAACATGAGAATTATGCTGACTGTTATTCACATCAATTATTTAGGTAAATGAGAAAAATATCATTTGCGTAATAATTTGGAACAGGGTGTTTTAGATTGCATGATTAATATAGGAAACATTGCAGGACATTGTAACGTTTAATTATTGAGGCGATGCTGATTTATGTGGGGCTTCCTGGGGATGTTTTCTACTTTTAATTTGTCATTTTGCACTGTTGTAGTCTTTTGTTACCTCATCTTCATGGCAACCACTGAGAAACCTTGTTTATGGATGTCCACGTGTCTTATGAGTGTGACCGTTTCAACACGATGCACAATAGGTGTGTAAATTCAGTTAAGCAACAGGTGAAAGCTTTTTGCATTCATGATGGAGGAGGGGGGGAATTAAAAATGTATGGTGCTATCTTATGACTTGAGAAAGGCCATCTGTATTGAATGAAACATTCTCGTGTCTTGCTTATTCCAATAAAAGTCTGCATTATAATGGAATCATCGTGCCTGGAATCTCTCTAAATATTTTACAATTACACTATAATAACATTATCAGGGTTATTCACTAAAGTGAGAATTCTAGGTAAAGTCAGTGTGAATTTAAAATTAATTTTGCTGGCCCTGTACACTGTGCAGGGCCCGTGCTACTATAAGGTGGCCAAGGTGGGCGCTGGATCCTGCTTACTGGCAGGAGAGAATGCACACCATTCCACTTCTGCCAGTCTCAGCATGTAGCAAGGTCGAGCCATGAACGGGGTAGAGGACGTGCTCACAGAGTGCGCCAAACTGATTCCTCTACCCTGGTCCACAGCTCGGTCATGCTACAAGTGGGAGGGAGGTGAACTGGCATGGTGGGAGGGGGGGCACAAGCATACAAAAAGGGGCTGAGGGGACACAGGCTGAAACAAAGGGTCTAACGGCACACAAGCAGGTACAAAGGGGCTAAAGGGACATAAGCAAAGGGGCTGAGGGGACACAAGCAGACACAAAGTGGCTTGGGGGACACAAGCAAGCAGAAAGTGGCTAGGGGACACAAAGAGTGGCTGGAGAAGGGGCAAAGGAGACAGACAGGGCCTGGGGGGAAATTCAGAGGGGCTGGAGAAGAGATAAAAGAAACAGACATGGGTTGGGGAGAGACACCCAGAGGGGCTGGAGGGAGTGAAAAAGACACAGAGGGACTGAGGGGAGAAAGAGACAACTTGTTTTTGGGAGGGAGACAGAGGTACTGGGGAGGGGCGAAAGAGACACACGCACTGGGCTGGGGGAGAGAAAAAGACATGTAAAGGGGCTGAGGGGAGAAAGACACACACACGTAGAGGGGATGGGGGGAGAAAGATAACAGAGCGGAGGTGTAAGAAACAGTAATAGAAATACAGACACTCTGCATCCACTATACACACGCACATTCTGCATCCACTACACACAAATTGTGTATCACACACACACTGTGCATCCACTATACACACACATTTAAAGCATTCACTACACAAACTGCATACAATACACACATACACTGCTGACACTCTGGATCCACTATACATACACACATTGAGCATCCACTATTCACACATCTACTATACACACCCAAATCATTCACTATACACACTGCATACGCAACACACAAACACTGCAGCCACTGTAAACACTGCATCGACTACACACTCTGCATTCTCTAAACACACAATGCATTCACTATACACAGGTGTGGTTTTGTTGAGGAGAGCAGGATTTCATCCTTGGGCCAACCCTGCCCCTAGACACACACTCTCTTCAGCACCTAGCCACACATATTACACCACAAACACGACACAACTGAAACTAACCTATTTACACAAAACACCACACCACAATCAGCTCTCTCTACACACACACAATTTCACAAGGAAACTCCAAACACATGCACAATACGCTTTCCTGGCCTTTTGTCCTCTGGTATCCCACTTGTGGAGACACCAGAGACAAGTCACAAGCAAATACAGGTCAAGACATAGTTACTGCACACATCACGTGGCATTCAGTCAATGAGATATATGGTCTTTCAATTATATTTAATATATGGTGATTGGGTATTCTTTTTCTGGCTAAATGAATGAAATCCAACATGTTCTGTGGTTTGGCAGTCCTTATAAAGATGATTACATGTGTCCATTAAACATCAGTTTGATCACTTGGACCAAAAGAAATTGGTCTAGATGAATATTTTTGTTCTTGGGTAGAGCATTGACTTAAGGATAGAGTACATCAAGTTGTCATTAATGGTAAATTTTCAGGCTGGACAAAAGTGGTAAGTGGTGTTCCTCAGGGTTCTGTTTTGGAACTGCTTCTATTTAACATATTTATAAATGATCTTGAAATAGGCATTGAAAGCCATGTTTCAGTGTTTGCAGATGACACAAAACTTTGTAAAGTAATTAAATGTGAGCAGGATATTGCTTTGCTGCAGAGGAATTTGGATAGATTGCGGGACTGGGCACTAAAATGGCAGATGAAATTTAACATAGAGAAATGCAAAGTTATGCACTTCAGGGTTAAGAATGCACAAGCAACTTACACACTAAATGGTAGTGAATTGGGGGTAACCACACACGAGAAGGATTTGGGAATTGTTATAGACAACAAATTAGGCAGCAATATGCAATGTCAATCTGCAGTTGCTAAGGCCAGTAAGGTTTTGTCATGTATAAATAGGGGCATAAATTCTCGGGATGAGAATACAATTTTGCCTCTTTATAAATTGCTGGTAAGACCACACCTTGAATATGCTGTGCAATTTTGGGCATCTGTTCTAAAGAAGGATATCATGACACTAGAAAAAGTGCAGAAACAAGCTACAACATTGATAAAAGGAATGGAGCATTTTAGTTCCAAAGAAAGGTTAAAAAATTTAAATCTGTTTAGTTTGGAAAAATGGTGCCTCAAGGGGGTTATGATAACATTATACAAATATATTCGGGGCCAGTACAAACCATTATCTGGACATCTATTCATAAACAGGGCTATACATAGGACACGAGGTCACACATTTAGGCTGGAAGAAAGGAGATTTCATCTAAGGCAAAGAAAATATTTTAAGAGCATATTTAAGAGCAATAAGGATATTGAATTCTCTGCCTGAAGAGGTGGTTTTATCAGAGTCCATACAGATGTTTAAACTGCAATTGGATAAATACTTGCAAAAATAACATACAGGGATATAATTTCTAATTAGTGGGGTAATAGCTGCTTGATCCAAGGAGACATCTGACAGCTATTTTGGGGTCAAGAAGGAATCTTTTTCCTAGTTTGTTGCAAAATGTGAAGGTTTTTTCTCCTTCTTTTGGATCATCAGCAAAAATATATGAGGAAGGCTGAACTTGATGGACCCAAGTCTCTTTTCAACTATGTAACTATGTAACTTCTAACCGAGGCTCTGTGAGAAAGCTGATGATGGAAACACTCACATTTGCTATAATGCTTTTCACAAGCAGCACTGAATGACAAAGCCCCATTGTAACGGAACCGCTGGCACCCCGACCGGGTACCTTCCGCCGACGGGTGCTCCTAGTGCTTTCCAAGGACTCCAAGCACTCTGCCTGACACCATAACCACTGCAGACCCCACGAACCGCCGCAGCTTGGTTGGGGTCTCGCCGTCTCCACCCACTCTGGACCCAGGACCAGGGTCCAGCTTCCAGCAGGTCGACCTCTCTCTGAATTCCAGAGAGCAGGAACAGGAACAAGCTCTTAGCAGAGCTTAGTGATTATACCCTGTGGAGTATAGTGATTATAGCAATCCCCAGAGTGTAGTTTCTCCAATCCCCCAAACATGAGCCGAAACTTCATGAAGGTACAAGATGATCTGTTTATTGGCACACAAAGAACCTTCTTTTATGCAGGTTTCCCTGAGATAGGACCACCCACAGGGTTTTACACAACAACCAATCAGAAACGTACATTACAGAAACACTCCCAGCAATTACACACAAAAATCCTCCCCTCTGCCTGTGATCTAATTATGTTGCACAATGGTTTAACATAATTAACACAGGCAGTAAAAATACAGTTTTTATCCATACACTGTAACTTTAAAACTACACATCCAATCTTCATAAAACACAAACATAACCAAAAATCAGACAAATCCATCCAGGGGTTAAAAAGTTAGCTGGAGTTCCCTTTATGACCGATCGCAAGCACATTTTCCTGCCCAAAACGGTTCCATGGATTTGGGCTGTGCGGTCGGTCTATTCCAGGCTGAAAAAACAACTAAGTCCCATCGCCGGGCGGGAAGCTCTCTTCCTCCTCTCCGCCTCCTCTCCTCCTCTTCGGCTGAATGCGCATGCGCTTCATTAAGCTGAAGTGGTCTGGGTGCCTAGAGTGGTCCTTTAATACTCCCCTGACAAAGGCTTTTTCGCCAAAATGTTGGGGGTATCATTTTGAGTTTTTTGGACGTGTGATATTTCCCTCTTCTCTTAACACTTCATTAGCTAATTTGTTTTGTTGATTTTCTGATTTGGTATGTATTATTTTTCTGTACATTAGTGTATGCATCATTAGTATGTGATTTTGATGTTTTCATTATTTTTATTGTATGTATTGTATATAGTGATTTATTTTCTCGAGTCGTATCTATATAATCCATGGCCTCATATTGGATATACATATCCATATCAGGGTTGGCAATCACTCTTTTATTTATATTTTGTTAGTTTTTTATATGTATTGAACATTTTCAATAAATCTGTTTAATTTTTTCCTGTTGGGTGTGATCCTTTATAGTATTATAATTTATTGCCAGAATATCTCCTAAACAAGTGAAAACTAACTCTACTTGCTATTCTAGTGAGTAATGACATAAGCTGTCCTTTTATTTAATAGTTAATTGTTTCAGGTTTATTTGATTAATTTGCTATTTAAACCCAACTCTGCAGATACCCATTGCTCATGTATCGAGTCTCCCTGGTCTGTATTACACATGTGTAACAACATTCCTATCCAAGTGACTTGTCCAGTATTTGTGCTTGACCTCACTGGCTGTCCTTACTCCGTACCTAGATTTACCTTGGGAATTGCACTGGTCTGTAACACATCATACTGCCTGATACACTTAGATATATGGATGCTGGTGCTGCGTGCAATTTATATGAAGCAGTAAGTGCAATACAGGGCTTGCTGGCTACTCAGCCACAAGCCTTTTCCCCCTTTCCAGGCAGCAGGTGAGCAGAGTCCGGTGGATACATCCACGTCTTTATTTACACTGCCATTAAATCAGTTATGTACAGTGAGCTAGTGTTGCTAACCGTTATCTTGGAGGGGGTGCTTTTATATTTGAAATGGATATCTTCACGGTATCTTCACGGTGCTGCCCATGACACAACTTCTGCCATTTTTGTGCTGTGGGTGCAATGGGGCTAATTGGTGTCGAAGTTTCTCTAATATGTTTTTTACCCTCAACTGTTACTAGTGATGGTCGAGGGCTTGACAAAGATTGACAACGTTAGCTCTGCCTTTTCGTCAAGAGTAGGAAAAATGCATAAGGCAAAGATGACCCTAATTTATGTTATGATATCTTTTGACTGGGGTAGAATTTCAGTGAAATTCCAACACAGTATTTACCATCATTTCAAAATTATTTTTTCTTTATGAAAAGCTCTTTTTGTTGGGGGGAGAGGGTGACAGGGCTTCTTTAGTACCACTTGAGCGATTCCTTGTATTCCTAGTCCCTCTTAATCCCATCTCACATATTACATCCATTCAGCTCCTTGCCTTATACTCTTTCTTTCTAATTATTCACTTTGTCACCTATCCCTTTTATTCCTGCAGCAATGTGTTGTGTTTTCTGTTTTTCCTTTCCCCTACATATATATTATCCAAGAGTGCCCTGACCAGAATTTTAAAGCCTTCTTAAGGTAACATGTTCATAAAACTTTTTCTGCACTTTATCATGTGTTCACATTGTGCACCTTTTTATTTGCACCGACAATTTTTATTTTTTCATCTAATGTCACGTAATACATGTTCAAGTGTGTCCATCAGCACAGCCAGAAACAGAAGTAACCCGATATAATTATTACAAAGCAGGCACCTAGAATGGACTCATAAACTGCCCACATCAAACTGAACTCCTTAATAGAGAAATATATTAATTGTTACCAGCATGACTTTAGTGCAGTCGCCCATTATCTTCACATACGGCTTCAGTACATCATAGTGAAATCCAGAGGTCAGCAGGCGACGGTGCTGGAACCACTTCTGTCCGGACAAAAGCAATAGTCCTCTCCCGAAGCCAAACAGAGACAAGTAACAGATACAACTTTCTTTGTGAAACGAACATTATGTCGTTGAATGAATAGAAGGCAGTTACATTGGACTGTTTGTCACAAACCATTCTTCATTGACCATTGACTAATGTTCCAATTGGAATTTAAAGACTTGAAAAAAAACGACTTTGTGTCCTGTGGTTCTGTTACGCTACTTGGGTGATTTGGATTGGAACTCAACTGCAGCTTGTAAACTCCCTAATTACAATTGTGAAGAAACAGAGAATCTTTAAAGTATCAATACTGTAGCTTTAAGAAAAGAGAGAATCACTGGTAACTTGATTCAAACGAAGTTTTAAAAAATGTTAAACTTAAATGAATTGCATTTAGGCAATAATCCAATAAGAAGAAGTGCAAGTAATCAACAACACAAAGTTCAGTATTAAGTATTTCCTCAGAGATGCTTTAAGTAACATTTTTTAAGTTCATGAGAATAATCTTCAATAGAAACAATAAGCAAGTAGAATCACTGAGTATATTTGCAAAGCAAGAAACAGTTCATAGTAAATAAGCATGATGGGAGTTGTCCTCCATATAATTAGTAGGTTGAAGCACTGAGTATATTTGCAAAGCAAGAAACAGTTCATAGTGAATTAGCATGATGGGAGTTGTCCTCAAAATAATTAGTAGCTTGAAGCATTGAGTGTCTTTGCAAAGCAAGAAACAGTTCATAGTGAATAAGCATGATTGGAGTTGTCCTCCATATAATTAGTAGTTTGTAGCAATGAAGATTTGAGTAAGCAAGCATCTCTGGCGTGGTCTCCCTAAATACTGTTAGAGCCGCGTCAGAGGGGGGTGGGGTCCGGCTCCGCACAGAGGAGTGCCGAACCCGGAAGTGTTACCCCATGACAAGTACCCTCATTCATACACTCACTTGCTGATGCTCCTGAATTCAGTGGCCTCCGGAGCATGTTTAGGAGGTCAGAAGACGGCTGCTTTTCAGCAGAACCACTATTGCTCATTACATTTTGACACCAAACTGGCCAGCTTCCCACCACCGAAAGACATGAGCAAGACATGAACCACTGCTGCCACCTGACTTATTCCATCACATTCATAAGTAAGTAAGATAGGAAGGTGTGGGTAAATGTGCATGCTGGTTGAGGAACAATATACCTGGAAGGGTAAATAAGATGCCTGCAGGGGCAGAGGAAATTATTTATAGTGCAGGACAGAGAATTGTATATAAAAATGTGGTAAAGAAGGGAAATATAAACATAGGGCAAATACTGGGTGAGAAATATGGACAGACAACATGAAAATTAAGTGAGGAGGAATATGAACAGGTAACATATTGGCTGTTTCAAGAATGGAAAGAGATTGGTAACCCAAAAGGGATGGCTGGGGAAGGAGAAAAAATAATGTAGAATACAATAAAAACAAAAAATAGAAATAACGCCACTGCAAGCGCTCAAACTCCACAGGAGGTTTAATTGGCACAAGAACAAAACAAAAAGTAACAAACAGGGGGAAGTGCCACACCAAACATCTAAAGCATTTCAGACCTACAGGTCCTTAGATATAGGACATATGTCTAAGGACCCGTAGGTCTGAAATACGTTAGGTTTTTTTCAAATGTCAATCATAATATATGGATGGCTGGGGAAGGAGAGAAGGATATAGAAGACATTGTATGGATGGCTGGGGAAGGAGAAAGACGGATAAAGAAGACCATGTATGGATGGCTGGGGAAGGAAAAAGATGGACATAGAAAACAGTCTATAGATGGCTGGGAAAGGCGGAAACGGTGCATGGTTTTGGGTGAGATTAAGTGGGTCTATACAATTTGTATGAAAGGAAGATGAGCAGAGGACACAATGGATCATGGCTAGTTTAACATTCTTCTTCAGTAGTTTGCCCTCAGTTTAACGAATCCTATAAAAAAAAACAGACCAGAGCCAGGAAGCAGACACATCGGCACAAGCAACCAAGCCTAGTGGGAAAGAGGGACACTCTTATACAGTCTGTATACCCCAGATGAACTCCGAGAAGGTTAGAGGGATGGTGGACTGATTGCGGACACTGATATTTGATGCTGCTCAACTCATTTTAATTACTCTTTGAATAAAGTTTGCTTACCTAAAATTCCAGTCACAAGTTAGAATATTTATATCAGCAGACATTTTGTGCTAAGAAAGAAATTAAAAGTGTATATTGCCAGAGTCACTCAGAACAGAGCAGACTCCATTTTGCTATCTTCAGAAATTCGAAGACACATAATTTCCTTGATTTCACTAACCACTGAGCTAAAGGAATGCATTATATAAACACAGACACTAGTGACAGAGAAGACTAAGTAATTAATTTTACTTTCTAAATTTTACAAGGTTCCATTGTAAGTAAGGGGTGAAATTGAGTTTAGAACTGTCAATTTTACAAATTACGATCAAAGTAGTTGCCACAAAGACTGAGACAAACGCTTTGAACTGACAGCAAATCTAAGTTATGGTAGTCCTTTTAGATAAGCTAAATGACGTCAAAATCGTCATCAGGAAAAGTTAACTCTTTCCTGGATAGGAAGGTTTAGTGAGACGAGACTGCCCTCTATGGATCAAATACCTAAATTGCGATCCATAGATTGAACATACCTTTCAGTTTCCTATTGGCTTATCAACTAATGACGTACAAAGAGTCTGGCCCTTTAAAAGTTAGGACAAAGGGAAGAGAGGTTAGTTGGTAGAGACACGAGTTGGAGTTTGGGCAATCAAATTCGGACATGCAGAGAGAGAGAGACTCAAGAAACATTCTCTGGGACTAACACTCTACTCTTAAACTCTTGGACACTCAACTCTTAAACTCTTTGACACTTAGAATTTTACTCTGACTTCTAACCAACACCACTTTTCTCTATCACTCACGCACCTCCATACAACCAATCAAGTCCTGGGAGTACCTACTCATCTGATGAGAATATCTACATAACTGGTAATTATGCTGGATTTATTTAATTAATTTAAATTAATTAGAATTTACTAATAGCATGATATATGACTGGATAAATCACGGTCAGGTTTCAATATTTAGAAATCTTAGTTAACTAAAGAATATATAGTTATAAATATTCCATTCTGCAGGTGGAATTAAGAATAATTATATATTAATGTGATAGTATCACGTGTTAGCATACCGCTGTTTTTATCCAGGTGTATTGATTTGCTCTAAATAAGATAGATATCTTTTTAGGCAAATTAAAATTCGGCTTTTGTAAAAATCTGGTAGATTATTCTTATCGGATGGTTCCAGGAAATGACTAATGAGTTGGTTCAAATGTTATTTTAATTGAAAATCACAGGAGAATAGGATACTATATGCCTAGGAGGATCTAGCCAGCATTGAAAGGGTTACTCAGTTGATTTAACTGTTAGCCAAGGTTTTATGGCTTTTCGCTGTGTGAAGCTTAACCTCATAAATCTTATTAAGTGACAGGAGATGCTGTTAGCCATTGGAACGTGTATAGCCATTCCATTGTATTGCATACTTATGTTATACTAAATACTCACTGATTATTATCATGCATGCTGCCTAATATTATTGTTATGTCATATGTCACAATAAATTAAATCTATTTTTATAACACATTGTGATCTTAATTGTATGGAATACTTTTCACTTATTTGATATCGATCTCTAAGATAATTGAAATAGTGGGCAATTCTCGACTGTTTAATATTATCATCCCATAAATATCCCCACAAAGTGTATCCATTGGATCCATTTGGCAAACCACATATTAATGTCTATGTATTTAGAATGCAATGTCATAAAACTCCCTGTTGGTGTAATGGTCAGGTGTCCCAAAACGTTTGTCACATAGTGTATATTTGATGGCGTAAATATTAGAGGAAGGACATCCACCTCAGCCTTCAGGATTTTCCATTGATGGAAAATTTTATTAAAACACGATTCACCATTCCGTTTTTTGCTATATCTCTACTAAACATACCCATTCATGTATAAAATAACCATTGATTTCAGTAACATAATTGGTGGTTTATGCGTAGTGCTTACCAATCCAGGGAATTAGATATTCATATTCTATATAACCCTTGCGATCTATAGTAAATCAGAAAAAGGAAATAATAAAAAAAAAATTAAAAAATGACGTCCTGGTTACAGCACTATAACCCAACCACTGAGTAGGCAATACTAAAGTATACATTAATTCCTTACATATCTACTAATGCAAACGTATTACATAATACGATAAAACAGCAAGCGGAGCAGACAGGAAAATAAAGCAATAAGATCCCAAAAATGACTAAAAGTAAATAAAACTTTTTTTTAATTAGAGAATAACCAGTGGCTCATCCAAAATAATTCTTAAAGAAACACTTTGATTACCATAACCACTACAACCTATTCTGCAAGAAGTCGTAGGAGTTCTGTTTTACTGTTTTTGGGCTTTTATAAAAAAAAAATTAAAAGAAAAAAATAACTGGAGCTCTCTCAGCACCAAAAGTTCAAACTATCTTCTTTATTTCAAAATTGTGGAGCATTTACTACACTGTGAAGTGTAAAACAGCCGAGGGGCCAGGAGATTTTTGTGGGGTTTTTTGTCAAACAGCTCGAAAACAGTTTTACAAAAATAGGAAAGACAGCACCCAAAAACTGTTTGGAAAAATTCAGAAATAGTCGTGGCTTGGTTATTGCAGTCTGAATTTTTCAATTTAGTTTTTTATGTCATTACAGTTTGGTGTTTCATGAATAAACCTTTTACTGAATTGGCAGTTCACAAGGACAATTAATGGATGGCCTTCCCAGCAATAAACATTTAATTAGTAAATGAAGTCAGTCACCTCGCTTGACAGTATAGTTTTGGCGTATTCTGGGTGAGTGCTGTTCAAATATGCAGCAAACGGTCCAAACCAAATAGGATTGGCATACGGGAATTGGATGGCCCAGACCAATCATTTATCCAGTGATTTCCCATCTTCATTAAGCTGCAGTAGAAAGCATAACGCACCAGACATTAGAGATTAACGGAGAACCAAAACTTCACCATTCAATAAAACACTGAAAATGACGTATAACTTGTGTTAAATGTGATGCTCCATTTTATTTTACTATAGATTCAGAATGTAGCAATAGCCCTCACAATCCAGTTCAGTCCTGGCACAGCCAAGGCACACATTGTATTGAAGGAACAAATTAAACATTTAGGGAGGTTTAACAAAGTATTCGGAAACTTAGGGTGTTCAATACCCTGTTCCAGTTTATAAAGTGGTTTAAATGTTGTGCAAAACTTGTCACATTTTCTTTCCTTTTTTTCTCCACTTGAATGTCTTTTGATAGGAGTATAAAGTAATGAGGGCCCTGTAATACTCCCCTGTTCTTTTAGGACTTTTAGGAAATATTCAGTCACCTGACCTTGTATGTGTTAAAGGAAAATAGGTCTCCACCCCTCTGGCCCTGTATGTGTTACTAGGGCTAGGAGATGGCCAGTCCTGTGGCCATGAAATGGTTAACAAAGTGAGTAGATAGCCAGACTACCAGCCCTGAAAGTATTAAAGGGATAGTCTATTCAAAATTTGACAACAGCTGTCATACAATAAGCTGCATGATCAAACACGTGACAAGTCACGTAGCATCCAAGACACAGCAGTTATTTGTAAACCACACACCTGACTAGAGAGCTGCAAACAAAGAAAAACATACAATATATATATATATAATATCCACAGTCAAAGAACATTAAAACAACGTAAAAGAGAAAGGGAAGAGAAATCTAGTAGTTCCTGTGTAAATCTAACAGAAATTCCAGACCCAGACAGACATGGTCATTCAGTAAAGTGAGAATCCAAAGTGAATTTAAATTTTAAAAGCCAAAGTAGACGAAATGGACCAAGTTAGATAACTTTTCCTATTCTGCTATTTTGATCTTAAATTTTAAATAGATTTTGTATTCTCCCTTTAGTGAATAACCCTGTGAGTAGAGGGAAGAAAACAAGTAGACTTCATGGAAAATCAACCAAGAACAGTCCGTGGAGAGGGCTTGGATCTGGGATCAGACAAGCCCAGAGAGCAGAAATTCTCTGATTCCAGAAACATATCCCAGACAAACCATAGTCTTGCTGAAAAGGATTTCCTTGACCTTGCTAAGCCATTGCTAGATGGTGTCCCACTATTTATAACGCATTATAAAGCATTAAAATATGGGTTATCCCCTGTCCAGCAGAGGATTATGGGAAAAGCAGTTTATTCCATCAGGTGGCCCTGGGTATCGGATGGTGGAAGTGCATGGTAGTTCTGCCACTGGTTTAAACACTGTGTAATTATATTTTTTGTAGTTTGAAAAGACCAATTAAAATGGAATTGGAAAAAAAATGATCTTTAAAGGGTTACTCCAAGCATCATGACCATTTCAGTGATTTGAAGTGGTCCTGGTGCCTAGAGCTTGTATGTGCAGCATTTCAATATGCACACATGCATAAACTATCCCCTCTACTGTAAATCCACCAGCATCATCATCAGGGAAGAACTATAGTTCCAGGGTAGTGAATTTAGTGCAAACTTGGTGTCTATAGCCAGATAGTCAATAATGGCTTACCTTCCCTCTCCATGTCACTCATATAACCCCCTCTGCCCACACTGCCTGACCACCTTCCCCAACATCCTTGCCCCTCTGGTGAGGATTGGGCTGAGGGGAGAACTTGGACCTGGCGCTGGAAAAGACGTAAGTTTAAGCTTTTTTCCCCCATTTCCTGGTGGCCCACAACAGAAAGGGTCAGACTAACCAAACTCAATGTTTCCTGAAAACACTTGTTTTGATTGGAGTAACCCTTCAATTTGCAAAGCTATACAGAGGTTTGTGAACAAATAAAATGTACCTGTCTGTTGAGATTTTACGTTGGTTAGAGTTGTCGTTCACAGCAAACGCTAATTCTATTATCTGCAGTTATTACAAATTATAATGTAGTGGACTTTAGCAGTATAATATCTCTTTGTTATAATGTGTTTGTGCCAACACATGTCCTTTATCGTTTGCAGAAAAAGATTACTTACCATGTAACCCCTTCAGGACTATGGTTAGTTAAACCTCACAACAGCGATGTCATGTTATCAGATCTGCGGCGGGAGCGAATTAATTGTGTTCACATATGTTAACACATTCTGTGACACCTTAATGCACAATACTTACAGTATAAAGTAATTCATACATTGTGGCAGCTCGGTTGTCTCTGTATCTCTTACCACATCAGCCTGCCCAAACAGCCAGTGACCAGGGGGTCCAGGGAAGGGTTTCGATGCTGTCATTAAATTCTTTCTCTTCTGGAAGAGTTGGATCCCCTTTAGCAACACCAGAGACAGACAGAACACAGCAGCTACATACAGAACCCTATACCCATCTATAGACCTCAGAGATTCCACCAGAGATCCCATTGTCTGCGCAGACAGCTGTAGATGCTTTCTATGCAACTGTCCTTTCTGATTGTCTTTGCAATGCAACCTCAGTGAACTCTGCGCAGTTCTGTCCACAAATCACTGACAGGCTGCAGCTTTTGCAATAAAAATAAAAATAAATAAATACACATGTGTACTTAAGTGGCCGTGAGGACATATACCCAGTCAGATGATTCCACATGTGCACACTATAGTGTCTTTTTCCATAGTTCCTTTTTATTGGTCTTTTTAAAATAAAAATAAATAAGAACATCAAAGTATGTTTACATTTCATTGTTACTTTCCTGCAGGCTGTTCTCTCATCAGTTTGATTAGACTGAAACCCCTTAGGCAGTGAGATGGGTGAGCATTTCACTGATACAATTAGGAATGCCAACCACCGACTTTTATTTTATTTTATCAGACGCATGGGATTTATTCACTTAAAATAAAATGTATGAAAAAAAATTAGCAAAACTGCAACTTGCAATTATTTTGGAGTTAGATATTTTTTTTTTTTTTACAAATAACCTGTTTTTACCAAAAGTTTGCAATTCAGTTTTCAGTTTTCTAGAATTCAACATTCATGTTTTCAGGTGGCTCATTATTAGGGCTGTCCTGGAAAATAAATCAGCTGGTTGACCAGATTCCATTTGGATCCCCAGCAGAGTTGTTAGGGTAATTATATATGTATATTATGCACTTTCACTTTTTATTGTAATCTTGTGGTGGGATTGGGTAATTATCTTCTGGGTGATTAGAGCTGCACTTATTTTGTTTTTCTTTGACTGAAGGAATACTGATAACGCCTACTCCATTGTATAAATATCGCTTTGGGTTTGTTTTATATTTCACAATGCTTAGATAAAATACATAATATTCAAATCTGGAATACAGAAAATCTGAGCACCTATATTGGGACCAAGACAAAAATAGTCAAGAAAGCAACTAATGGGCATATCCAAACCTACATTAAATTGGAATTTAAACAAGACAGAATACTCCCTGTGATAGAGAGTACTCCCTAGAAAAAAAGAAAAATTGCAACATTAGTTAAAATCACTTTTTTTTTTAATATTCTTTCTTTATTTAACACTAAAAACAACAAAAAAGAACTCATAATACATTATGCAATCTTTACATTCATTTAACAGCAATATTACCTAAAAGATTGCATTTAAGCTCTAATATCACCATTTTGAGTTATTCATCAATACAAATTTTTACACACACAAAACAAAAAAAAAAAAAACAACAACAAAAAAACATTTAATACACTCTCCCCCCCCTCTGCCTCTCTATCTACCTATACCCTTCCTATTCGCATAAACCTTCCAGGGTTCCCAGACCTTACCAAACATATAATAAGAATGTCTTACTCTAGATGATAATTCATCCATTATATAATTTTCTTGAATCTTTAATTCCACCTCTCTCATTGATGGTAAATCTAGATTTATCCAGCTAGCGGCTATACATCTACGTGCGGCCAATAAAATTAAAAATATTAATTTCTGCGAATGGCAGGGTATACCTGCTATTGATTTCGATAGCAAAAATATCCAAGGATTGAGTTCTATATTTCCCTGTATTATCACTTGAATTAGCTCCCTTATTTCCTCCCAATAGCTTTTAATCTTTGGGCAAAATCACTTTATTTTTAATCAGTCTACAAAAAAAAGCAAAAAATAAACCAGAAAAATAAAAAAGTGAAAAAGAAAATGAATAAATACAGACACAAGTAAACTATGTACATGTATATAAGGGGATAAAGCCACATGGAGTATCCTATTATAGCCATTGAGCCTGGAAGCAACACGAGATACATGCTCAGTGTATTAAATGTATCCGATTCTGTGGTAAGTCCAGTGTAACAATTGCAATTGTATTTATTTGTATGATAGAGGGAACAGCTACATACAAGAACTATAGTATCCCATTCGACTGAATAGGACTATATCGGAAAGATCAAATGATACAGCGCACTTCATACCGTGATGCAAGTGAATCTGTTGGCAAACTAATAATGTCAGATAGTTTGTCTAGCTGGAAATACTAGATAAGGTCTCTGACTGAATGACAGTCTGTGTATCTCCTAATGAACACTCATCATCCCTACTGCTATAGTTTATATCTGCTATAGTCCGTCATGTGACTTTATACTTGACAGACACTGCGGCAGCCCAGGGGAAATATTAGTCAATGGAGGGCAGTCAATTTATTATTAAACATATTGGAGTCTGTTTAGGGACAGATGGTTATTTAATTAATACTTTACCTTTATGATCTATCTCCATTAGTCTTTATATCCTCTGCCATCTCCTGAAACTGATTTTATACAGCTCACTCATCATTTAGGCAATATACCTTGACAAAGACTAACTCCAATCCACTAGGTAGGTTTTTAGTGTCGATCCAGTTAAGGACTTGGGCTGATGAGTGTTCATTAGGATACAGACATTCCTTTTTATTAAGTAGAGGATACCTTTTAGTTCAAATTCTGATTTAGTATTCAAATTTGTGCTGGATAAAACGTGATCATAGTAAAACTAGATGTCACATTTGTACTTGGGGCTGAAATGTATTTTCCAATATTACCATGACACTTACTTCCCAAAATCTTCCTTTTACATGCAAATTACATGCACATACTTACAGTGGTGTAATTACCAAGGTCGTAGCGGTTGCCAAATTGGCATATTGGTTCTACCGAAGTAATTCAGCTGAAAGTAAAAGAAAATGATTCTTATGACTGTGCTGAAACACCATGTAATATCGGCAATTTTTGCAATGCCAATTCTGAGTTGCCAAAATCTGTGCCGAAGTTCACGCCCTGCACCTTTAATAGTAACACGTGGGAATGGTACAATGATGGGACTATCTTCCTAAGAGTGAATCGCAAGGGAAGTAAATATTGGAAGACTAGAGCCTTTATCATATCCTTTTATTCAGGCCCGGACTGGCCATCGGGCACACCGGGCAAATGCCCGGTGGGCCGCGATGGCCGTGGGGCCGATGCCGGCAGGGAGATCACAGGATCTCCCCGGCCGGCCCCTGCAGGGTCAGCGCTATGCGAGCGCCAGCCCTGCTATGTGAATCCATGGGCCGGTGGGGAGATCACAGATCTCCCTCACCGGCCCACAGGCAATGTTACATGCGGCCGGCTGGGTGAGGGAGGGAGGGAGGAGAGAGGACCCGGCGGAGCTCTTACAAGCAGCTCCGCCCGGTCCTCTCGCGGGATTCTGAGCGTTGCCGCGGCAACACTCAGAATCTCGCGAGAGTGAACTCTAACCCGCAGGTTAGAGTTCACTCTCACCACTGGACCACCAGGGAAGGCAGCATGGTCCCTTCAAGGCTCCCCCTCCCAGGCAGAACGGCTCCCTCCCCCTCCCAGGCTAAAGGTAAAAAGGGGGGGGGTAACATAACTTTTTTTTTTAATTATTAATGATTATTAATTATAATAATAATAATATTATAATTATTAATAAAATAAAACATATATATTTAAAATAATTTCCCTAGCAGCCCCCCCAGACACACACAGCCCCCCCAGACACACACAGCACTCACAGACACACACAGCACCCCACAGACACACACAGCACAGACACACACAGCACTCCCACAGACAGCACCCCACAGACACACACAGCACAGACACACACAGCACAGACACACCACAGACACACACAGCACTCCCACAGACACACACAGCACTCCCACAGACACACACAGCCTCCCACACAGCACTCCCACAGCACTCCCACAGACACACAGCACTCCCACAGACACACACAGCACCCACAGACACACACAGCAAAGACACACACAGCACCCCACAGACACACACACAGCCCCCAGACACACACAGCCCCCCACAGACACACACAGCACCCAGACAGACACAGACACACACAGCACACCCCCAGACACACAAAGCGCACCCCCAGACACACACAGCGCACCCCTAGACACACACAACACCCTCAGACAGACAGCACCCTCACTCCCACACATATACAGCACATATATTATATAAAAAAAACCCTCAGTGAGTTAACAGAGAAATAAAATTAGAAACCCAGAATGTGACGGCAGATAAAAACACCCTCACACACAGCACCCCTCTTACACAAACACGCTGCGCACCTCACACATACAATACGTCCAAATATATTATATATATATTATATATATATATATATATATATATATATATACAAAAATCAAAACTGAGGATGCACTCACAGGACTTGGTTAAAGTGAAAAAAGGGACTTTTAATTATTCCATGTGAAATGTACAGAAAAATCAATTTTCCATTCACATGGAATGATTAAAAGTCCCTTTTTTTTCACTTTAACCAAGTCCTGTGAGTGCATCCTCAGTCTTGATTTTTGTATATTTCTGACGTTTGGGATATAGCACCCAGGCTATTAGTTCTTTCTTATTACTTAAAGGAGAATGCCAAGCATCCTGTTTTTTGAGAATATATATATATATATACATATATATATATATACACATATATACACACACACACTACAGCACCCCTCACACTGCACCACTACACACATTACGCTCCAGATACACGCTAGATCCCTTACCCTATATGCACTCTTAATCCTCTACACACACACACACACACACACACAATCTTCTATACACACTCTGGGTCCTTTACACACTAGATCTCTTACACACACACACTGCACCACCTACACACACACATACAACATTCTCTAAACACACCCTCTCTACACACAGTAGTGTGTGTGTATAAGTGACACACACTACATCACCTATACACACACACTACTGCCCGTATGCACACACTCGCTACATCCCCTATAACACTATGCCCCTATACACGCACTCTCTACAGCCCCTAGCCACACATATTACACCACAAAATTGACCTATTTACACAATACCACACCACACTCTACACACAGGCAATCCCACAAGCATGCGCCAAACACATGCACCATACACTTTCCTGGCCCTTTTGTCCTCTGGTATCCCACTTGTGGAGACACCAGAGACAATTTAAAAGCAAACACAGCGCAAGCATGTTATTACATTTGCTTGCGCTGCGCAGAACAAATACAGGGCCTTTTTCTAATGCTAGAGCTTTTCAGCGGGGCTCTGCGCATTGAACCAACAGGCTCACTTTCTCTGGCCCCGCCCCCTTTTTCGGGGGCCGCTCTAATTGAAAAATGCCCGGGGCTAATTTTTTTCCCAGTCCGGCCCTGCTTTTATTATAGAAAAGGAAGCATCTCCTACTGCAATCAAGTGGGCCATCAGACGGGTGATTTTGTTACCATGCTGTTTTGACATGCTCCTGGCATTACAACAAAATGTTCAAGAGGGAGCTGGAAGACATGTCCCTGGAACATTGTGGACTAGGAGTCTGTCTGACCTTGTCACTAAGTGGCACTAGGCTGCCTCTAATCTACGAAGTGTCCTCTTGTAATTACTCTGTATCATAGTCAATTTCCTCCTGGAACAGACTTAAACAAATGTCAGGAGAGGTTGGGGTAAGAACAATATCATCACTAGATTCCTTACCACCAAGACCAGATTGCAGACACTACTCTGTTCTACCTCTTTAGTAAAAAGTACCACTGGTGACACCGACAGTCTCTGCTGAACTTTTCCTTAGTTGCTTAAATGATGGAGTAACTCAGGCAACAAGTCCACTGGTTTCACCAATCCCTTGCTCCGAGCATCCTAAAACACAGAAGCTGTAACGCTTGAAATAGCTGCGGTAGTAGGAGCTGCATTGCTAGTGGAAATAACAGCAGAAGTTATTGCAACATGACAAGGCTGAGACACATCCAATTGTCTCCTGGTTGTTTAATTAGACTTAATGGATATGCTGCTAATTCCACTATTTAGCGAATATATTCATTAAACAAGTGTTCCAGACTGGATAATGTCAATTATGTACTGTACATAATCCTGTCCACATAGTGTCACTCATTGGTTAATGCACTCAGCCAGTGAATTGCCATCGTATCATCTTCTGAGCCAAATGCTCATCACCCGTCATTAAAAGACCCATGGCGGCCAGTAATACCAAGATAAGAAGGCAAGACATTGGACATTGTAAGAAGGTTTGCCCCATTATCAGGGGACAGGACCAGAGTACTCCGGGCGTCATAGCCACTAGAATGAGCTGTAGTAGTTATGATGCTTGAAGAAACCTCTTAATGGGGATGTATTGCATATACCCCATTGTACAGCACTACGGAATCTGATGGCGCTATACAAATAATAAAACAATAATAATAATACTCAGTGATCCTCACATTCCCCTTTAAAGAAGAAAGAGAATTGGTGGATATTTTGGATATTGCTAGAGGTTTCCAGGACCACCGGCATCAAACAAGACTGGAGAAAATCTGCAAGACACTAAAATACAGATACAAGTTTCTACTCCTTATTTTTTTTATTTAAGTTGATATATTTTTTCTCAGTTGTATAAAGCTATTGTATATATCTTAAAAAACAATGTTAATTATAAAATGAAATTTTCACGATATTAAGTACACTTTATAATAGACACATTATATTACTCTCTAAGTAATAATATAGAAATTATATAACAAGCAAACATTTTATAATTTGATCCTTATTTCAGCAGACAGATCAAGTTTTTATAGACAGACAAGACAAGATAATTATGAAAATTTAGGTATAGGAGTATATTAATATACCAAAGTGTGCACACTTAAACAATGAGGTGAAAATATGCTCGAAACTTATGTGAAGGATCCCCTTAACCCTCACGACCACATATAACCGTTTACACAAAGATATAAGTGGAGCTTCAGAGTACCTGGTTATAACATGAATGTACTTGGTTACAAACTTAACCAAAGATCTGTAAATAATATACAACACAAATATAGTGCAGATGGTCTGTACAATTTCAATATAAATAAGGAAGTGATAATTCACAACTCACAGGTTTTAGAGCCAATTGATCACCTGGCTCTAGTGTATAATGCTTCAGGATATTTTAAGGGTGATCCACTACCCCCTTGTACCTCCTTCTGGTCTCCTCCACCTTCAAATTCTCTATTAAGAATGGACAGGAAACTCCAGTAGAAAAAGGATCCACTTTTATTGAAGAAAAAAAACATATATATAAAAATGATCAATTTGATCCAAAATACTAGTATAATATAAAATCCAAAATAAGTCCAATGTCCAAAATGTCCAAAACGCGTTTCGCCATTTACTGGCTTCTTCAGTTGGCTTTGTTCACGAACCGTTCGGCGAACCGTTCGGGACATCACTATATAGGTATATATTATGATAAGGCCACTGCAGGAACAACAATTCCAATGCTTTTTCAAGATGTTTATTTACAAAACCGACAGTTTTTAGCATCCAGGTACTCTTTCCGTTCAAGACATAAATCAAACCAAATGCAAACAAAAACCTACTCCTTTTAGGAGACTAACTGAACAGAGGAATTTCCTCTCTAACAGTACTGACCAGCTAAGCTGGTTCACAGTCACAAAACAATAATTAAACAGCACAAAGTTTTTGTTCCCACTCGGGCTCCATTTCAAACTCACTGTCTGTCTGTGATCAGCAGCCTAGTGAGATAATCTCAGCAGAATAAACAGGACTGGGCAGTGTTAAATAAGCAGCAGCAAGGGGGTGGAGCAAAGCAGCCAAACAGGTCAGGCGCTCGCTCGATGGGCTCTTTACCAAATCTCTAAATCACAGTGTTAAGTCCCCTCGAAGTCCGAAAAATGGGGTACTGCCGCTCTTACCTAATATGGGTCGGAAGACCAACAAACAGAAGACAGAGAAGCCCAGTTTGGGCATTAGCTGCCAATTTATCATCTCCTCCACAGCCTCAGACAGTCTCACAGAGTGCAGAGACCCTAGGCATCCTTCTGAACAGAGTGGGGCTACCACACTTGGGACCCAATGACCATTATTCCGTTCATACTTTAGAGGGCCTATTCGGATGCCTATGCAGCGGCCATGACCTGAGGCTTTGTATGACTTTCTTGTTTAACATTTTTTTCATAATATTTTCCAATGTATAAGGTTTTCTGTTGGTTTGACTTTCCTTTTGATAGCTTATACTTTAATTTTATGCAAGCATGACATACAGCTCGGCAAACCTCATTCCGGATCGTATTGCGCATCAGACCTGAAAATTCCCCCTACCTCTACATTTCAATTAACTTGTTAGACTGTGATGTTTAGGTCTGGAGTCGTAAAACCACACTAGGGCCCTCAGACTCTCATCTTACTGTCCTTTACTTTTACACATTAGATTAGTAGATAACCTAAGGAGCAGTCAGCTAGAACATTAGTCTATTTACAGTATTTTTTTTATATATATATATTTTTATTTTACATGTGACATTGCCTTCAACAGGTTTACGCCCACACCTAGTTGCACTTGGAGGTAATTTGACATAGAGTATTCACACCCTCCATTTCATTGGCCATTCACTTGGCAGTCCACCTATACAGATGTTTAAACTGAAATTGGATAAATACTTACAAAAACATAACATACAGGGATATCATTTCTAATTAGTGGGGTAATAGCTGCTTGATCCAAGGAGACATCTGACTGCTATTTTGGGGTCAAGAAGGAATTTTTTTCCTAGTTTGTGGCAAAATTGGAAGTGCTTCAGACCAGGTTTTTTGCCTTCTTTTGGATCAACAGCAACAACATTTGTGAGGAAGGCTGAACTTGATGGACGCTAGTCTCTTTTCAGCTATGTAACTATGTAACTTTACATAAAAAAAAAAAAAAAAAACAGCTCACTGTCCCAGCCGCACACAGTGTTATTTTGTTTATGCGTGATGTTTTACTTCTCAAAAATATGTTATTGTAATGTATGAAACTAGTCCCTTAAGCAAGTGAGTCGAATATAAATAAAGAATTTAAAAAAACAAGAATTAAGTAGCAGCTGAAGCTGCTATAAATATTAACCCTAGAATTAGAGAAAACACACACACACACATTCATTATGTGTTCTCTTTGATTTCACTATAATCATTATCAATTAAAAAAGGTTGTTGCAATCAATATACTTGTTTATGTCTCTAGCATTTTGAACTCCATGAACGATGCATCCATGGAAAGCTAATGGACTAGTGCCATATGCATATATTCAAAAATGTTCACAATTGACACATTTAATTTGCCTTCATTCCTTCCTGGCTTTCTTGAGATACAGGTGAATTCCGTTCTTCGACCTCAGTGACAGCATATATATTTTGATGGGAGTCTGGGCTGGATCCACTGACAGCTCAAAGGCATTTAGAGTCAAAGCAACAGCCACCTTCAACTCATTCATTGCAAAGCTCTGGCCAATGCAATTTCTGGTAAAAAAAATGAAACAAAATCAATGAAAGGAAATTATGCTGACAATTAAAGGCTTTGATTGTGATTTTAAGGGACGGTAAATGGAGTATTCACTGAACTCTCATTTCAGGTGGAATAATGGACCTGTGGGATTCCCAACAGTTAGACCAAGGTTGTAAGACCGTGCCTCAACATTTACCGCTGTACTGTCTGGCATGATTGACCGTATCATGTGAAGTTAGTATTCCAGAACTCAGAGACATCAGAGAAACAATTAAAACAGTCTACAAAAATATTCAAAGCAAAACCTAGACCATGCCTTTATTACCCTCTCAGCACAGGATTATGGACATCCCCAATGTATTACAACCTTGTGTTCGTACAACCCTGGGGTGTTGGATCCAATGGGACTATGTTTGATTTAAAAACTATATGGCCAGAAAATAATAATCAGGCTTTCATCTGAAAATGGTCTTAACTCTCATTGGTTTTGGGACATTTGTGTCATCAGTAGGTCTATTCAAAAACTCCAGAAACTTTGGGGAGGGCGGGAGGGGGAGAAAAACATAGGAACAGATCCTCTTCCTTCCCACATCTTACCTTCTCCCATCATACAGATCAGATCAATGGGATTATATGCAGAAAGGTTTTAGAAACCCAACTGTTACATAAACAGCCATGCATTCATTTCCGATTTTACTATAGGGGAGTTAATAAAATATTTAAGAGGTACCTTGGGCCAGCCGAGAAAGGAAGAAATGAATGAGAATGTCTTTGTTCTGTGTCGTCCTGTGAGAACCTTGAAGGGTCGAATACCTGCAAGACACCGCAAATGTCATATGTGAGACAAGAAAAACGTGTCCTAAATTTGGTTATTGATAGCAAATTAAAGTTAGAAAACCTGAATAGCAGCAGACATCAATATATATTCAAAGGATTGCCATATAGTTTAATGTTCACCACATTATGGAAGCATTCACAATGAATGATCAGATTGTAAACTCAATTGAGCACAACCCTCATCAGCCTATTGTTCCTGTAACATTTTGTAATTGTCTCATTTATTGTTAAATTTCCCCACTTTGTAAAATTGTAAAGCATTGCAGAATAAGTTGGCGCTATATAAATGCCGAAATTCTTTTGACTGCTATGAATTGGATAGTGTTATTTACTCTTCCTGAACACTGACAAAACTGTCACAATGATCTTTGGAACAGTACCTAAATTACTCAAATTACACAATTCCCACCTATTCATCAAAACAAATTCAAATGGCACACTGACCGCAGTCCACTCTTTCAAATACTTGGGTATGATATCAGACCTCAATCTATCTTTTAGCCTGCATATAGAAAAGCTTGCATCTAAACTATATCCAAAACTAGGTGCCCTGTACAGAAACAAATCCTGCCTGAGCCCTACAGTAAAGGAAACGATTGTACAGCAAATGCTGATGCCAATCATTGATTATAGGGATGTAGCAAATGCATCTGCATCACAATCCCACATTAATAAACTCAACACGTATAACTCGTTCTGCCGATTTGTGCTACAATGTAATTACAGGACCCAACATTGTGACATGCTAAAAGAACTAAACTGGCTGACACTGGAATCAAGACGCACCTTTCATCTTTCCAGCTTTGTGTTTAAGAGCTTTTCTGGGAAACTCCCACCCTACCTGAACAAAATGCTTTCCTCAGCTGTTCCCACTTCCTATAAGCTCCGATTCAGTACCAACACTTTACTTAGTCTACCTCAATACAAAATGAAAGCGACCCGATCCTCCTTCTCCTACAGAGCACCGCAATTGTGGAACGACCTACCGCACAATTTAAAATCTTCCCTAAGCATAAAGTCCTTTAAGAGATCCCTCTCTACATACCTCAAAACAGAATGCACCTGTCATGGCTGATTATATATTTCCTGCCTGTTCTATGTTAAATATTGTATTTATTGTGTATTAATATTGTTTTTGTATTTTATTGTACCATAATGTATCAATGCAATGATTTGTGGACCCAGGACATACTTAAAAATGAGAGAAATCTCAATGTATCCTTCCTTGTAAAATATTTTATAAATAAATAAATTTAATATGAGCTTAGACACCTTTATACACATCAACCACATCATGGTACAAGGCCATCAGGTTATGTCCCTCCATGATGTAAAGGGTTTATTAGACTACTTGCCATGAATGGTGTAAAGACAGCAGGAGTTATAGTAGTCGAGTCTTAGTGTCCATGAAAAGATCCAAGATGAAGGATAACTCACAAACCAGCTCTTCTTTTGTTTTAAACAAACAGAGGGTATTAACAGTTTATTTCTTACCTCTGGGTCATTCCAGACAGAAGGGTTTCTATGGATGCTATCGATGGACACAGACACCAGGCTGCCTGTGGGTAGCAGATAAAGAAAAGCCCAAGAGCCAATTATAAATGACACTCTGTGTTGCTAATAAGCTACACAGTAAATTAATAAGACAGAATTGCAATGTAAGAATGGATCCACCTGAAGATGGAATTCAAATTAAATCTCAATGACCACCTCCGGTGTCTCGCCCAAAATTCTACTCCTTGAACCTTCTGGTGTCACCTCATGACTTCACCAGTGAAATCATTTCAATTCTATCTCCCTCTTCTCTCTCCAGTATCTCCAAGAGTATGTGGCTTGCTTAAAGGGCCACTATATAGTCACCAAA